CTCACCATCGCAGCTCTGCCTGGCAGCAATGCGTCCACTGATGCGCATTTCTGGCCCACCTGCCCTCTCCAGGGCCATCTGCAGTTCCCCCAACACCAGCCAGTCCATCTCCTGGGCTGTCAGATTGGGCAGCACCTCAGCAAAACCTGGCTCCTGGGAACAGACCAGGGTATGATGGGCACTAGCAAGAGACCAGGGCAGGTGGCAACAAGAATCAGAGCCTCCCCTCCCTCACCTGGGCTGAGGCATTGGCCTGGAGCTCCCGCAGTAGCTGACCCTGATGTAGAATCTGGAGCCTCAAGGGAACCTGGGTTGCTCCTGTAATGGGCATACATGTGGACATTTCTAAGAGATAGGTACCCTCTCTGCCCTCTCTCACACTTTCCCCACCACACTTACCCACACTCTTGGATTCCAGCAGGCCCCGGAAGAGCAGCAAAAAATGCAAGGAGTCCTCTGTATCACTGAGGGTGAGCAGGGTGATACCCCCCACACCCTGCTGTTGTAAGCCTTCTAGAGTCAGGATGGCACTGAAGGTCTCTGAGGGAGGGAGGATGGTGACAGCCCATCAGAAAATCCCCTTCTCAGCCCACCCTGAGAATATAAAGAGTTTTCTTCATATTCAGCAGCTGCATGTTCCCCTTACCTGCAGCTAGGGCCCGATGCCGAATGAGAGGCCCCCAGACCTCCCCTGAAGGGTGAGTAGGTGTCACAAGGGCCACATGCAGCTGTTCTGCCCTAAGGAGCCTCAAAGACAACCTAGGCACTGCCCGCCACACCCCACAGACCTGTAACAGAGAAACAAGAAGGCCCACACTCAGACAGTATGCCGGACAGGCCAGCTAAGAGGCCCAGGCCTGATGAGGAAGGAATATGGAAGGGAGCCCCCAGGCCCTCCTAGGAAGCTTAAGAAGGTGCCCAGGAGCCAGATGCTTGGGTTCAAATCCTGGCTCCACCACTTACTAGCTGTGTGACCTTGAACAAATCACATTCTGCTACTGAGCCTCAGTTCCCTCATCTGTAAAATGGGCATCATAATGTCAGTGCCTTCCTCCCACTGGGTTGTTCTGAGGACCAAAGGAGGCAATGCAGAGCATGCTCTCAGCACAGTGCCCAGACTGGATAAGCGCTCATAAATGGCATCATCTCACCAGGCCATCTTGGGTGGGGGATGCAGGGTGTTCAAAGAGGATGCTGCCGGTGGAATCTGAGAAGCGGACCCTGCTGGGACGATCCAGCCTGGAAATGAAAAGTCCAGTAAGGCTGGATGGGGAGCCTGGGCCAAAAGCAGCGCGCGCGCGCGCGCGCGCGCGCGCACACACACACACACACACACAGCTTTCTCAGTTCTTCTTCCCCTCCCCCAGCTGACCCGCTCCTCCCTTCTTCCCCTTTCTCACCTCCGGTAGGAGATGGAGAAGCGTAGGCTGGAGCGTAGCAATGAGACTCGGGCACGTGCCACTGCCTGCGACCTCGGCCCAGTCAGCAGCGCCACGAAGTCTGCCAAGGGAGGAAGACGTTATGAACACTGTCAACCATCGCTGACCGCCGCCCCCAGGACTACCCCTAACACACCCATCCCCTCTTACCGGTGTGGCCTTCTGCGCGTGCCCTCTCCTCAGCACCCGGCTCCCCGCGATCACTGTAACTGCGATGCTCCGGATCCCTGGGATATTCGAAGGACAGGCCCGGCCGCTGCTGTTCCGAATTGCTGCGCTCTGTGCCAGGGGTAAGAAACACGGGCTACAGCAGGCCACCGCAACCCAAGTAGCCCAGGACCTAGTATTGCACCCTGTTGCCCTCCCCTTACAGCAGAGCTGCTCTTACCCTGGGGGCAGGTCTGGCAACAGTGTCCTGGTAGCTGGCGCGGCTGCCCACAGGCCAGCGTTGGGCACTCAGGTTTGATGTTTTTGCAGCTGACCCTGCCAGGGCCCCTCCCACGGCGACCCCACTGTGGCTGATCTCAGAGAACAGGGAAAAATCAAGTGAGTGCAAGATGTCAGACCGTTAGACTTCAGGGCAAAGAGGGAGAGTCTAGGGACCAGTGCAAAGTCCACCGGCAGAGTCCGAAAGCTCTGGCATTTACAGGTGGAAAGACCCTAGACAAGTGGCTTAACTTCTTTGGGCCTTAGGGTCCCCCTCTAGAAAATGGGGATAATAGGGTTATCTATCTAGCAAAGTTGTAATGGTAGTTGAGAGAGAGAGAGAGAGAGAGAGAGAGAGAGAGAGAGAGAGAGAGAGAGAGAGGGAGAGACACGGAAGGCACAGAGTGAGCGATCAATAGTAGTCAACACCTGAGACTTAAAGGGGGCGATCCCAGCTTCCTTCGCCAGAAAACTCATCCCAAGTATCTGTGGACCAGTCTATTCCTCCTGAGCAACTAGAGTGCAGTCCGACGTCTCAGAACCCCAGAGGTCCCCGACCCTCAAGAGCCCGAGTGGCGGCAATAGGGTTCACTCACCGCCTCACAGGCGCACAGAACGCAGCGCATCACCCCAAAGGGCTCCCCCAGGTCCGGGTGCCACGTCTCGTCCAAGGCATAGACCTTCCCGCCGAAGGAACAGCCTGCGGGGACGGGCTTGGCTAGCGGCCGCTGTCCCGCTCCTGCAGTATGCCCGCCTTGGGGGCTGCCCGCCCGGCCCTGGGTCCCCTGGCACAACGCGCCTGGCGGCTCCAGCCCGCCCGCTGCGCGGAGCCACCTGCGCCCGGGGTCCCCTCCCAGAGGGTGCGAACTTGCCCAAAGCTGGACTCACCGCCCGCGCCTCCCCCCCTCCCCCCGGCGCCCACCTACCTGCCGCTCCCCGAACGGGCAGCGGCTCTTTCTCAGAACGAATGGGCAGCGCGGGAGGCTCCGGGCCGGCGCCGCGGGCCGGCCGGGAGCCGAGCAACAGCAGCCCGAGGAGCAGCAGAGGGGCCGGCGGGGCCGGGAGGCTCGGCATGACGCGAACGGGACAGCTGGGGAGGCGGGCGGGAGGAGGGAGCAGGACGGGAGGAGGGAAGAGGGCCGGGTCGGGGGCGGTCCGGCGGGAGGGGGCCGGGGCCAGGGCCGGGGCAGTACGGCAAGGGGCTCTTCGGGCTGCCGCAGAGTCGGCGCCGGGCCGGGTGGGGCGGGAGGAGCGGCCGGGAGGAGCGCGGGCGGGCGGGCGCTGACCCGGGCCGTACTCGGCTCTAGTGCCCCGGGCGCCGGCTCTGGCCCGTTTTATGCCCGGCGCCCGACGCCCCGGCCGGGGGCCTCCTCCTCAGCAAACGGGGCGGCGGGGCGGCGGCGGCGGCTCGGCGAGGGGCCGGGCTGAGCCCGGGGGGTCCGGCCCAGCGGCAGCGGCCCGGATCGCGAGTGGGGGAGGGGAGGGAGGGGCTGGGACGGGGCAGGGGAGGGAGGGAGGGGCTGGAGGGAAAGGGGGAGCGAGGGGGTAGGGGGAGGGGAGGGACCAGGGGGCGCGAAGAGGGGAGGAGAGGCGGGCCTGGAGCCCCCAGCTGCCGGCGGCCACAGAACGACCGGGAGATGGGTGTCCAGCCCAGGACCAGATTCTCAGGGCCAGGGAGGGGCCATGGCTGGGCCTAAGGCCTGGACGGGTCACTGGGCAAGGACCTTCCGGCTTGAAGGATGAAGACTTGCCTTTAAGGATGACAACTGATCTCTTCTTGACTCTAGGCCCTACTTCTCCCTCTGAGGTCTGTCCTCATTCTAGAGGTTCCCAGGACAGAGACTTATGCAGTAACAGGCAGTGTTACCCCTTGGGTAGAGTGTCATTGTTTCCCACTGTAACCTGTCCTCAAGCCCATTCAACCATCACCCTCTTGCTTTCTCAACCTCTTCCTTCACCCAAGGGACTCTCTTCCTCTCTAGCCCACCCCCAATCTCCTTTGTCTTGGTTTTCTGGTCATGTCTCCCTATCCCCTCCCACCCCCACATCCCCACCATCCTCCCAGCTATCCCAGCACCCTCCTTCCTAATCTTGGGAGGCATCTCGTCTGGCTGAACTGGAGAATTCCGGGATCTAGGCCATACTCTAGCAGACAGCCCCATCCTTGGGAAGAGGAACAAGAGAGAGCCTGAGGAAGAACTAGGGGTAGGGGGTGGGAACAAAGTCAAGCCAAGAGGCCCCTGAGGAAAGAGACTGTAGGGAGACTGGAACTGAGAGGAAAGCAAAGTAGTTAGAGCCAGGGCCAAAGGAAAGAGGGGGGTGGCAGCAGGGAGGTATTTGCGGGGGAGGCTCAACAGCTGTCTTTCCTAAGACAGGGACACATGGGCCTGGTTATTTCTCTTGTCACATGTGGAGTGGTAAGAGATGGAAGAGGGCAAAAGACAGGGCAAGCTCAGCACATGGACACAGAGGTAAGTGGGTTTAGTTGTCCAAGCCCTTGGGCCCCAGCAGAAGAGCACCTGGACCCAGGCTTAACCCAGTACACGCCCCTCACCCTCCAGTCCCTTCAAACTGTCCACACCCTTTCTCTATACCATGACCCCTAATAAGATCTTTCTTCAATATAGGCAATGCCCAGATTCCATTTGGGAAAGGGGAATTACAAGATGAGACTCCATAGGGAGTTGTAGGAGAAACCTGGATTTTGACAGCTGGTATGGTGTTCAGAGAGAAGAAATTTGAATAGCTAAGAACTGAAAACCTCATCAATCTGAAGCAAGACTTCCATGCCTTTTCCCTCGGGACAAACATGTCCTGCCAGCTATCTCCTGGACAAAACCTCTATTCCTTTCCCATCTCTCTCCCAGCCAGCTCCCAGGTTTCCATCTTCTAGGAAAAGATGGATCCCCCTATGCAAATCCTCCCTGTGGTGTGTGGGGGTGGAGGAACTGGGCTCCATTAGTGGACCATGGTCCAGGCAGGGGCTCCAGGTCCAGCTTGGATAGGAGAAGGCGTCACTTCCGGGGCCTTCGCCAGTGTCTGGTGGCTCTCTGCTCTCTGATTGGGCAAAAGTGGCCGGTCAAGCCTGTGACCCCACTGCAGTGGAGGGGCTGTGCCCCAACGCCACATGTCTTTCTACTCATCTGCTCCCCAGAGTGCTGCCTGCTGTGCACCTGGGTCCTTAAGCCCTTCTCTACCCGGTGAGTGGCAAACAGGGTTTGGGGTTAAGTGAGGGTATGAAAGACAGGAAAGAAGAATTGGGCTCTAAGCTGGGGGAGGGGCAAGCAAACTGGAACCTACAGGCACTGACCTTTGTCGAGAAGAGTGGAGCCTTCCCAGAATGGGAGGAGCAGGACAGGGCAGGGGTAGGGGGTGGGGTGCTGGTTTCTGAAGGACTGATCACAGACTTAGTGGAATAAAGCACAGGCCTCCCATGATCTAGGGAAAGGGGACACAGGCCCAGGGAGAAAATAAGAAAGGAGGTACATGTAGGGTTAGAAAACACAGCACTAAAATAGACACGGTCCAATCCCCAGTCTTACCGGCTCATTTTTTGTTAGCTAAAAGTTCTGAATCCTGGGACTGGGGAAGCTGGGTCAGGCAAGCCAGGGCACAAGGAGAACATAAAGGGAGGAGGGCTCATGCATGTTGACAGACCTACAGGAAATCCCAATATTGAATCAGGTGCAGGCCTCTTTGCACAACTTGTGAAGGGAGGAGGAAACCATGTGGGGGGTCTTGTGAAGGAATCATAAGGGGTCTGCAGAGGGGGAAGGGAAGCAGGTGTAGCCATGAGACAGATAACTTGGCCAGTCAGCGTCTAAAGTAAGGTAAGCCATGTAAGGTGGGCATCACCTAAGCTGGTGCTCATTCCTGGGCCACTTGCCTCAGAAAGGAAATCCCAGGACTATTAGTTCATCTCTTTAACTTGGATAACAGGATATATCAGAACTTGGAATGCAAAGAAAAACTCCAGGAGACTATATGGGTAGGGTAAATAGAGAAAGAATGAGAGGTCAATGACTATGGTACCCCCTTTTAATCCATGTCCTCCTGTGGTCCCAGTTATATTTCTGCCCAACACGGAAGTCACACTGCAACACATCGTGCATATTTTCAACTTCCTGATCCTTGCTCTGGATCCTGTTTTCCACTCTTCAGGCTCCCTTCTCTAATCCAATCCCAGATTTCTTCCAACCTAACCACCAAGGTTACTCAGAATTTGAGGCCAATAAAGGTGTGTGTGTGTGTGTGTATGCACACAAGAGTGCATATCATGTTCTGCTGCCCTCAGCGTGTATGTGGGTGGGGGGACCAAACCAGTACCAGAGTCACTGAGGAGCCCTGACAAAGTCAGGAGACACCATATGCTGTGATCACAAGAAAACCTGGGAGCCATCAGAACTTTAGTAGCTCAGAGTCGGTCAGCAGCTCAAGCTCTCCCAGCATCTGTTCCCCCTGCCAGGCAGTCTTTTCCTTGAAACTTGATAAAATATTCACCACTTTTGTAACTTTCAGGATAGTTTCCAGACTGTCTTCCTCGGCCCACCTGTGCCCCACCCCACTCTGCCCAGAAGTGCAAAGAGCCCAAGCCGCCTCCATGGCCCCAGGAAGGATTCAGGGGAGAGGCCCCATACAGGGAGCCACTCCAGCCAGACACCCCAGCCAGAATGGAGCTGACTGGTAAGATCACACTTGAGGGGCTAGGCCCAGGCTGGAGCATGGCAGGGAGAGAGAATAAATAGGCATGCTGCAGGGGTGGGGAATTAGGGAACCCAGTCTCCCAGGAATAAGGTATGTCCAAGTAGAAGATTCCCTGGATTTCAGGTCTGGGTCCTAAATGGGATTTCCTGGACCATCACCCAACAATGATTTCTTCCTTATCCACCCCGTTCAACCTCACTTCTCCTCATCTAAGAATTGCTCCTTGTGGTCATGCTTCTCCTTACTGCAAGACTAACTCTGTCCAGCCCGGCTCCTCCTGCCTGTGACCCCCGACTCCTAAATAAACTGCTTCGTGACTCCCACGTCCTTCACAGCAGACTGGTGAGAATTCCCAAGCACTAGCTTCTCTATTCACTTAACTGGTAAGGTACCCTCAACCCCATAACTTCCTCTCACTCCCGGACCAATAACTATTCTTCCAACATTGCCTTTGGCCTACTGATCACCACTCCCTGTCAAGAATTGTGATTTGCACTAGAGCCTCTTTTAGAAGCTCTGGACTGAACATAGTGCTCATGGAAGGCTAGCCCAGTCACTGGGCCACCATACCCTCTCTATTTCATCTCTCTTCTCCCCCACACATTTTTTTTTTCCAACAGAGCCAGTGCCCAGACATCAATCCTTTGTCCACCCCTGTCCTGCTACCTGCTGTGGATTTTAGCTTGGGAGAATGGAAAACCCAGACGGTAAGAAAGTTATCCCTGGGATGTCTGGGCTGGGGGCATGGCTCAGTGGTAGAGTACTTGCCCAGCATATGTGACCCTGGCTATGATTACCAGCAAAACACACACACACACACACACACACACACACACACACACACGGAACTCCATCCCTTACTTTGGCTCCCCAAATTCCTGTCATCATCAGCTCCCTACTGCTTCCCATGGATCCTCCATTATTCTTTTTTTTTTTTTTTTTTGTGGTGCTGGGGATTGAACCCAGGACCTTGTGCATGCGAGGCAAGCACCCTACCAACTGAGCTATATCCTCAGCCCGTCCTTCATAATTCTTAGGGTCACTAAAAATAATCTCATCTTCAGCTTGGCCACCCTAACCCAATATACATTCATCTATGTGTATCCTGTGGACAAGATGATGGATTTCCGGCCCAATATGTCAAATAGATTCAAAGTTAAACATCATGAAAAGCTGGAGAGAGGGCTGGGGATATAGTTCAGTTGGTAGAGTGCTTGCCTTGAATGCACAAGGCCCTGGTTTCAATCCCCAGCACCATACATACACACACAAAAAATCTGGATAGAAGTCTATCATGATCATGCCTTTAAGACTGTTCAATCTTCTTAAGTTGGCACAGAGAAGTAAGATTAATCTGTATCCACAGATGACACGATGCTGGGAAGCACCACTAACTGAAGTCAGAATCAAGATTCCAATCACTAAAAACTTACATCACAAACAAGATGAAATTTAATAGACACGTGTGTAATTCTACGTGTAAAATGAATAAAGTCCTATTCCAGCTTAAGACCCTGAAGCCCTGCTTCCCTCATTTAAGCTTCTGGCCCTAGCACTTCCTATGAAAAAGATTTGGAAGTGTTAAAAAAAAAAAAAAAAACCTAGCAATTGAAGGCAATAATAAAACAAAAGCAACTATTTATTTATTTGTTTGTTTGTTTGTTTATTTATTTATTCCTTTTTGCAGAGCTAGGCATTGAACCCAGGGCCTTGTGCATGCTAGGCCAGCACTCTACCACTGAGTTACAACCCCAAATCAAAAGCAATTGGTTTTAAAGCTAGCAATTCTAGACTGCTTTAGATGTTTAGTAACCATATTATGGAAATATTCTTAGAACTCTATTTTGAGTGGATTGCACTTAAAAGCACTAGTCTGAGTACTGAACATCCCCTTCAGGACACATGCTAATTTATTAAAAGGGACCATATTAAACTGTCCAGAAAGAAAAACCTGCATAGTGAGAGCCTAGAAAAAAATGTTATGTGAGACATGGTTAAAAAAACAAAGACACAAACCTGTCTGATTAGCTTGAAGAAAAGTAGTAGTCTTATGGTACAGCAAGAAATGTTCCCACTTATGACTCAGGAAACCTACTTGGGATGCAGGACTCATTGGCAGGTCAACTCTTCTACCCCCAAGATCTCTAGAGTCCCCCTCCTTTCCTCAGGTCTGCTCGGATCACTGGGTCAGAGGAGAAGGACAGTTGGTCCCTATGGATCACCTATAGTTCAAGCTCTGCCATTTATTAAGTCCCTTCCCTTCCATTATTTTGGAGCCTCAATTCTTCATTTAGTTTAAAAATGCTATGGTCCTAATATTTTGTAGCAAAAAGAGTAGACTTACGGCACTAGTTTTCAAGAGCTAAAAGTTATAACAGTGCAGAACTTTCTGACTGAAAAGTTGGTGTAAGACCAGGCAGGGTTGGCGGACAGTGGAGTTATTGAAGCAGAGGCCGATGACCAATTGTCGGGAGACTGTGAAAGAATTCCTGTGCTGGGTGGGACCCTGGTCCTGTCCAATTCTCAGCTCCTATGATTCATTCTGCTGGCTACTCCTACAGGCTCCCCACCCGCTATTAGCATGCCCTTTGAAGCAGTCCGCTTCTTTCTTCCATCTCTTTCCCAGGAGCAGACCAAGGCACAGGACATTCTGGGAGCAGTGACCCTTCTACTGGAGGGAGTGATGGCAGCACGGGGACAGTTGGGTCCCACCTGCCTCTCAGCTCTCCTGGGACAGCTTTCTGGACAGGTCCGACTCCTCCTTGGTGCCCTGCAGGGCCTCCTTGGAACCCAGGTAAATCCCAAGCTGAGGAATCCAAAGAAATTGTCCTCTGACTCAGTCTCCCTAAACGACCTGGAGGAAGAATGGGGATTCAAGGGATCTGAAGGGTAGAACTGGTCTGCCAAGGAGTGTTCCTTCCTAGTCATAAAGCCTGGGTGCAGACACCCTATCTGTCCTACATAGTCAAGGGAGACCTGATATCTTAGGCCTGCTCTCTGACTTCAGGCCCATCCTCTGCCCTCAGCTTCCTCCACAGGGCAGGACCACAGCTCACAAGGATCCCAATGCCATCTTCCTGAGCTTCCAACAACTGCTCCGAGGAAAGGTGCGTTTTCTTCTGGTTGTAGGAGGACCTGCCCTCTGTGTCAGGCGGTCCCTGCCCACCACAGCTGTCCCAAGCAGTACTTCTCTATTCCTCACACTGAACAAGCTCCCAAACAGGACTTCTGGATTGTTGGAGGCGAACTTCAGTGTCTCAGCCAGAACTACTGGCTCTGGACTTCTGAGCAAGCTGCGGGGATTCAGAGCCAAGATTCCTGCTCTGCTGAATCAAACCACCAGGTCCCCAGACCAAATCACTGGATACCTGAACAGGACACACAGACCTTTGAATGGAACTCATGGACTCTTTCCTGGAGCCTCACCGGGGACCCTAGAAGCCCCAGACATTCCATTAGGAACTTTGGGCACAGGCTCCCTGTCACACAACCTCCAGACTGGATCTTCTTCTTCCCCAACCCATCCTCCTACTGATCAGTACACACTCTTCTCCCCTTTACCCACCTTGCCCACCCCCATGGTCCAGTTCCACCCCCTGCCTCCTGACCCTTCTGCCAACCCTACTAACCCTCTTCTAACCAGAGCCCATCCTAACTCTCCAAATCTGTCTCAGGAAGGGTAAGGAATGCTGACACTGACAACATTTGCAGTGTCTCTCATGTGCAGTTCCCTTCCCTGGAGAAGGAAGACAACTGCAGCTATACCAGACATCCTGTTTCCACCTGAAAGCCAATACCCTGGTAAAGGTGAATACACAGGAAAGAAAAAGGGACTGTTTTTTTTTCACTGTACATTATAAAACTTCAAAAGTTATTTTTTTAAGCTATCAACAATATTCATCAGAGCAGCTAGTTATCTTTGGTCTATTTTCTGCATAAATTTAAAAATCACTAATTCTCTATATGCTTTTTATTCATATAATAATTCTGCAAAGGCCTGTTCTGGTCTCACCTTTGAACAGAGATAGAGACTATCTTTGTGTCAGAAAACAGAAAGGGTAGTTTCCTTCGCTTCAAGTTTAAGGCCCTCCAGTGCCCCGTTCCCTTTACTGTCGTTCTCTGTGGGACTGTTTGGTCCTCTATTCTTAAGAGATTCTTACTTTTGATAAATGAGTAACAGGTGTCTCTCAGAAACACTGTCCCTATAAAATTGACAAAACTAAGGCTGTAAAAGAATAAATGAGAGCACCCAAAAGCTAACTAAAAAGCAAAGGAAAGATGTTCTTCACAGGGGGTACCCCCCCACACACACAACCCCACCTCCCAAGAAAGCTAACACTCACCCCCGCCCCAGGTAAGGCTATGTAGACAGTTCAGTAAAGACAAGACCTGAATGTGACAGCTGAGCAAATAGCTAGCCCTTCAGCAGCTCAGCAGGAGGCTTTGCCAGGCCTGGGCTCTTGCCTCCCTCCTGTGGAGGTCAGGGGGAAGTGCAGGAAGTGGCATGAGCTCCTTAAGCTGGAAGAGCAGGACAAACAAGAACAAGTTGAAGGCTCCCTTCTCAAACCCTACAAGTGCATCTAAAGAGCAGCCCAGTGTGATTACCATAAACCCAACTATGGGATCCCTAAAAAGAAGGTGGGGTTGCAGGGCACAGGTAGCACACACCTGTAATCAAATTACTCAGGAGGCCAAAGCAGGAGGATCACAGTTCAAAGTCAGCCTCAACAATTTAGCAAGAACCTGTCCCTGCTTCCCCCAACACCCCAAAAAAGGGCAGGGGATGTGGCTCAGTGGTAGAATTCTCCTGGTTCAATCTCCTGTACCACAGGGAAAGGTGGGGGGTGGGTGGACTTCAGAGGCTTTGCAAATAAGTCTTGCTGTCTTGGTGCTCAGGAAGGGGAGGTTTACCTTGTGTACAAAGATCAACTTACTACATTCTGAGGTTCCTGTAGGAAAACTAGTAGGAACTTTTCCCTCTCTCCCACCTCAAAGAAAAGGAAAGTCTACCAGGAACTCAGGATTCCAAACACTGTCACAGATACCTGAGAATCCCCAAAGGCATTCCAAAACACTAGGGTGAAAGTCAGGAATCATATATATGTTCCTTTTTCTTTCTTTTCTTTTTTTTTTTTTTTTCCTTTAAAGACAGCGTTTGATTAATTGCTGAGGCTGACCTTGAACTTGAGATCCTCCTCCCTCAACCTCAGGAGTCCCTGGGATTATAGGCATGCAGTACCACATCCATCTTATATTCCCTTTTTTAATGCTCATACAATTCAGTAAAATGTATATTACCACCTACATTTTAAGGATGAGGAAACTAAGGCTCAGAGAAGCCAGGTAAATTACCAATGGTCACAGAGACTGTTAGCAGGAATAGAAACAGCCCTAGTCTGATTGACTCTAAATCCCAGAGTCTCCTCAGTATGGTGCGCTGTCCAATATAATCATTCAGTAGTTCTATTTACTGGGAAAGATTTCCAAATCCTTATGGAGTAAATACATCAGCTATTAATGAGGTACTTTACCACTGAGCTACATCCCCAGTCCTTTTCTTTTTGAGACAGGGTCTCAATAAGTTGCTGAGGCTGGCCTTGAATTAGTGATATCCTGCCTCAGCTTCCTAAGTCACTGAGAATTATATCCTAGCTACATCCTCAGCTCTTATTAACAAATCTAAGTGGAAAACCTAAGCTCTTGCGGGGGTGACCAGTTTAGATCTCCAAGTATCTTTCTTTCCTGGGCAGAAGAGTTAACATGGAGAAGGAATTAACAAATGCACAAAGCTGGGATGCTGCTTAGTAGTAATGTGTTTGCCTAGCATGGTCAAGGCCCTGAGTTCCATCTCCAGCACAGCAAAAAACAAAAAGTGCATCTCCAGCACAGCAAAAAACAAAAAGTGCACACAGCTCAAATATATTGTCCAAATCTCAGGTGCCATCAGTTCTGCATGAGAAAGAATTAGTTCAACCATACTACAAATTTTCAGGGTGCAGTTAATGAAATGGTTAGTGGAAATTATAATTTACTTAAATATCAAAACAAAGCATGTTAAATTTAATGATCAAAAATATATATAATGATCAAATGAAACTTTATGGCATTTGAAAAAGCCAGAACCCAGGATAAGATATGCCAAAGGGACCAAAGAATTATGGATTCTCAGACCACTCATAGGAGAGATAAGGATGGCAAAAATGTAAATATAGCCAGAAAGTTCCAGGCATCTAATATTCGCGTTTGACTTACTCTAGTGCAGGCAAAAAAGAAAGCTCATAGTTTTCTCCAGTGTGAATGAATTTGCACCTATTAAGAATCTATCCTAGCCAGGCACAGTGGTATACACCTATAATCCCAGCAGCTGGGAAGGCTGAGGCAGGCAGATAGCAAGTTCAAAGCCAGCCTCAGCAACTTAGTGAGGCCCTAAGCAACTTAACATAGACCCTGTCTCAAAATAAAATGTAAAAAAAGGCTATTGATGTGGCTCAGTGGTTAAGCACACCCAGGTTCAATCTCCAGTACAAAAAATAAAAATAAAAATAAATCTATCCTAGATTGTCTAGCATGTGTGACATCCTGGATTTAATCTCAGCACCATAAAAGGTAACTAATCTAACGTGGAGCAGCAGGTGTAGCACTTCATACATGCTTGGCATATATGAAGCCCCTGAAGTCAATCCCCAGAACCAAAAGAAAAGACTTCCAAATCACTCCTTCTGGCTGATTCCATCCCTTCTTCTCTCTGTCTGTCTCCGTCTCTCTCTCTCTCTCACACACACACACACTTTAAAACCATAATGCTCTTATCCCCGTTTTACTTTACACTAGTTCTCTTTCTTTTGCTACCCCAGGACAGTTTATATCCTATGATTCCCAGTAGTTAGGTTCTCCCTCTCTAACCTAAATCCATCCTTTTCCAACCCTTCAAGAGAATCTGACCCCATGGAAAGGTTCTAAGATTCCATAAAAATACACCCCAACCCCTAAGGCATCTGCTACTTCCTTCCCCATACCACCAATGGTAAAATAACAACAAAAAACACCTTCTCTCCTCACTGCTGAGGTCATTCACTTCAACCCATTTCCCTAAATACTATTTCTAATGCCTCATGTAGAGACCTGAAAATGATGGGAAAGCAAACACCCCAGGCATACCAGCAGGGGACCGGCTCCTATGGCAAAACCAGGATATCAAAAGACAATTGCTTAATACCCAATCTTTCTGAATTATTACCCTGAATTTCCCAGGGGAAAAGAGTCCCATATGCTTTCTCAGGTCCTCTAATGCCTGGTTGTAGAGCCAGTTCACAGCTGGAGCCCTTGTCATCACCACCATTTCCTTAACTTTTTTCTTCTTCCACTTATAAGTTAGTGAGTGCAGTCAGGCTGCTGTGTTGTCCTGGGCACTGAACTGCCAACCTCTTGGTATTACTGTCCTGTCCACTGCACTGGTCTGTGTAGCAGCTCCCTGTTCAGTCACTCATAAGAACCATTACCACTTACCCTCCCTCCTGGGTCACCACTGGAACATGGAGCAGAGAACCAAGTCCACCTGCTTCTATAGCCAAGTCCTCTCTTCCTCCTCTCATTAGTCACACCCCAAATCCATGTCAAAAAGTCTCCACCCAAAGCTTCCATTAAAAAAAAGAACTTTTCCAGGCTATGCAAGTAACTCATTCAAATTAATGTGAACTGACTTCCTGGAGACTGAGTGTTGGAAGGACATGAGCATGGCACCTTGCCAATTCAAAATTCTATGCCAAATGGGTGGTATCTTCCGGGCATGGGATATTACTCTCAGGAGCCAAAGCACAACCCTCCCTCCAGATAGAAAATCACACCAGAGGATATATGCTAGAATAGTCAGTCAGCCAGGAGACGGAGATGACCCTAAACCCAAAAACCAAAAGGCTGAGATTGGGACAGCCCTAGGTTGATACATGGTCATCTGGCTGTGGGACAGAAATATACTACAGACAAATTGGAAAAAACAATTTTAAAGAAAATGGAAATGGGGCTGGAGTTGTGGCCCAACAGTTGAGCACTTGCCTGACATGTGTGAAGCACTGGGTTCAATCCTCAGCACCACATAAAAATAAATGAACAAAATAAAGGTATTTGTTCATCTACAACTAAAAGAAAAACAATTTTTTTAAAATGAAAATGTGTTAAAGAAGGGGGAGGAGAGTCTTAAAAAGTAAAGTTTAATTAAAAAGTCATATATACACAAAATAACTCCTGATTCACTTCAAGCTTTCCCATTGGGTCTTTCACAGGCAAGCCAGTTTCCCATTGAGTTCAGACTAGCTAAAGATGCACCAACAGTGGGCAGAAAACCAGTTCCTCCTTAACAGGTGAACAACAACAACTTCTACTCAGGTTTGAACAATGTCCACAACCTGAGTGACCAAGAGCAGGCTGGCATCCTTTGAGGTTCAGAAGGCCAATTTCTTCATCAGCAGATAAACTCTGGAATCCACCTCAAATCCATGCAGGTTGTTGGCGTCACCCTGCAGCCTCATGAGCAGGCCCCCGTAGGACACATAGGCAGAGCTGAAATAGAAGGATCCCCATCCCATGAGTCTGAGCTCCATCCCAGCATACAAAAAAAAAAAAAAAAAAGTGTTCTGTCATTAAGGAACCAAAAATTCAGACAAAGAAAAATGCACAGATACATGCAAAGCACTGTTGTTTATACTAGCAAAGGAGGAAAACACCAACATGCACAAAATTAGGGGAATGGCCAAATGAATTAAGATGAAACCAGAATGTTATACAGCCATTGAAAGTGTTTAGGAAAAGCTTTACACTAACATGGGGAAACATGGTGTACATATGTTAAACAAAAAGAGAAGAAAACATTAGAATAAACAACATGATCTCAAAGAAAAAAATAGACTTAAAAAAAAAAAAGACCATTCAAAAATGTTTA